GGAGAGGCTCGGCACATTTAAAAAGTGTTATGATGGTAACGATGATATGACGATGATGGTAGCAATGCTAATGATGAAGGCTGGATGCTTCGGCGCTGATCGCCGTACATTGTGGATCTCGGATTTCGAGCTTGATAAGAAATCTATTCGGTTTCTTCTGTCATCCGTTAATTACAAAAGAATAAAAAAGAATAATTCATGTATAACGTTTTGCCGAGCGAAGGTATGCGACGCTAGGCACATGGACGCTGCGCAGGCTCAAGAGATAAGGTTGTTGCAGTCAGGGTTTCTCCTGGGTGAGAAAAAGTCGTGTAGAAATCGTTTTGAAAAAATATCATGTTACGAGGAGATTGAAGTCATATTAGAATCCGCAATCTGCCATACAATTTCCTTTTAACATCTCAAGGGTGTTTTTTCCATATCTGGCTTATCGGGAAGGCGATTAAGGCATATGATTTACGCAGTAGAAAGCAATGCCACAACTTTCGACACGGCTTTCGACCAGCGAAGGTCTGGACGTCCTCCGAGCAAGGCTCCCCTGTAAGGGATTTGTGTTCGTTACCGAGTAGGAGTAGGTATGGTTTTAGCTTTGATCAGTACGACTTTGTGTCGTGCAAGGCTTTGCCAGACTATTTAAGGCATTATTACTTGTAAGCTTAGTATTCTTCTCTTCCTTGTCTCTCAGCCAGCGTTTGATGTCGGGCTCTGCAGACCGAGCAAATTAGGAACTAAATTAAATTAAATTTCCTCCAATCGCCAACCGGAGCTAGTTCCTTCATAGCTCCAATGATTTATACGCGGTATCGCGTTTTTCCGATTGTGCTGCTGCAGGTCAGCCTGTCTTTTTAGATCATCTGGTTATGTACCTTCCGTACGTCTCGTGTGGCGGGACTTCATGTGGGATGTTCTTCATTTGGAAAAGCATCATCATCACACCTTTGATGAGTGTGCCTGCACGTTTACGCAACGAAAAGTGAGAAAATGCCCATCAGCAGCAGAGGTTGTAACCGATGTGCGACAAATGTACGAACAAAAAATGCTTCTGTCGTATTTCTGTGCAAAATGTATGGCAAATGTCCACGCCGGTAGTTACTCGGTGAAAATCAATAAAAAAAATATCCATAAAAATCAAGTTTTTTCAAATGCTGTATGAGTAAGACAGCTTGACTTTCTTTTGTCGTACTTAACACAGCAAGAAGTCCCTTAGAAGCATACTGTGAAGCCCGCGCCGCAGGCTACTCCATGAGCAAGACATTTCTGAGATACGGTGCCGGTGGTGACGTCGCCGCTGGGGTCTACGTCGCCGCCGCCGCCGCCGCCGCCGTCACCGCAGTCGCCGCCGTCGCCACCTAGCTGCACCTCGCTACCGCAGCTTTCATCCGGTACACGTACGACGCCGACGCCGACGCTACCGCCATCACTACCCGCTGCCGCGACGGCAACGGCGACGGAGGCAGCGGCGGCGGCGGCCGAGGAGACCGTGTACGGCAACAGCGCAACCTGCCGCGGGACCCAGTGTGTCGCGGTAATGCCTTGACCCAGCTGGCCATGCTCCCCCCAACCCCACGTGAACAGACGACCGTCGTACAGTACGGCAGCACAATGCTCCGATCCGGCGGCCACACAGCGACTGAGCCCCGGTAACGGCACTGGCAGCGGTAACCTGCTGGCGGCGACCACGGCCCCCGCCGCCGCTGCCCCCTCAAGCTCCGCGTCTGGCGGCGGCGGCGGCGGCGGCGGCCGCGCCAACTGTCCGTTTCTATTACTTCCCCAGACCCACACAGCTCCACTCGAGTCCAGCCCGACGACGTGATGCCATCCCAAGGACACCTGCGACAAGCAGCCCGCGACGACAGCAGCCGCGGCGGCGGCGGCGGCGGTGGCGGTGGCGGCGGTGGCGGCTGGGCGACGGCCCCCTTCGTTCCGGCAGCGGTTTAGGAGCCGAGTTTCTAACGGCACTTTATATTGTTTGCGGCAAGATCCAGCATTTGTTAGTTCCAACTGCTGTTGGTTGCGACGGTTATGGCGAAGTAGGCCAAGACCGGTCAAAACCAAGTAAAATTAATATCCGTTAATCAAAACCTTGGGCTCCAGTTCGATTCAAACAGGTCAAACACGTTCGGCCCCAAAAGGTAAATGTAAGGTAAGGAAAGGTAATTGAAACGCCACACAAACATGCAAACCGACGCACGCCACACAATAAGATCGGCAGACCTGTTGCCACACGCGCACCGACGACTCGCATGGTTCTGGAGCGACAGCTCCCGCCTCCTCCGCCAGCTGCTTGCCATAGCAGCTTGGCGACGCCTCCACCTCCGCCGTATCTGCCGTATCTGCCGCCGCAGCGGCGGATGCGACCCGCGATGCCACGTCATCAGCACGTACCCACGGCACGGCGACCTCCGTCGGGTTGCCGTTATCGGGATCGGCCGCCGTCGCCGTCGGCATCGCCGTCGGCATCCCCCGACCCCACAGGAAGAGACGTCCTGCCGCGTCGATCCAGGCGCTGCGGTCACCGCCGCCGTACACCTGTCGTAAAACAAAACAACCCATGCCGGAGCCACGGCCTTTAAACAGAGATGAGATGACCGTTGTTGGTGGTTGTGATGATGGTGCTTATGGCTGTAATGATGAAAGGTGGAGATGAGAGTGATGCCGGAAAAGCGGCGAGGAGGTCTGCGCGAGGCGGCAGCAGCGGCGGCGGCGGCGCTTTCCAACACGGCATCGTACACACCCGGCGACCATGGCCCTCACCGTCAGTGGCGGCGCCGCCATCTCGGCCCCCAGCACATGTACGAGAACTGGCGACCACAAGATGGCCGTTGGAGATGGCCGTTGGAACCGGCTTGCGCCGCCACCGCCGTCAGCGCGGTCTACCTGGCGGGGGCCGCCGCCGCAGCTACGGCCACTGGCTGCAGTGCCTAGTTGCAACCTGCGATTCGATCCAAAGCCGTACACTGCCGCGACGGCCGTAGCCGCAGGAGCTTCAACTGCTCTCGCATCCGGGCCGCACCCAGCTGCTCCCAGCTGCTCCCCAAACCCGCCGCCACTGCTACTGCTGTTGTCGCCGCCACCGATATTGCTGCTGCTGCCGCCGCCGCCGTCGTTGGCGGCCGCCGGCGGCGTCGGAGCCGCCGCCAGCAGCGTGTGCCACAACCCCGCTGCGACGGAGCTCACGGACCACCCACCCGGCAGTAGCAGTTCCAAGGACAGCGGTTGAGGGCGCATCGCGACGGCGACATCAGGTCCCAGGCCGAGCTGACCTCGATCATTCCGCCCCGCCACCACAACCTGACCACAGCCTGGACCGCCCAAAACCACCAACCACCAACCACCACGGTGGAAAATGACCAGCAGGAGGAGCACGCACCCGCACCCCTTGGTGTAGTGAGTTAAGCTAAGGTAGTGATTGGGTCGTTAGCGACCGACCGTCAAAACACAGGGTGTCGAAAAACAGGGAAGGAAAGGAAAAGGAATAGTAGCCGCACAGGTTTGGAGCTTTTTCTTTTTTATTTAAGTGGTTTCACAAGGCTTTAAGAATTGGAGTATTCTTTTTAATGTAACTGTTGTAACAGAGGGATGTTAACTGTTGTAACTACCAACTTCCAAGTAACGGTTACCACAGGATAACCGCTTCGGAAAAAATTCCGACAGGATTCCACTTGGTTAAAAAAAAGCCATCAAGCCCGATCCGGAGGTATGTACGACAGTACGAGTTGCACATAAAACACATGTTCCCAGGAGCGAGGCCCCACCTCCAAGTCCCCCCTCCCCAACCACTTCCTATTCCCCCCGCCCGCCCCTCTTCCCACCCCCTAACCCAGCCCCTACCCGCCAAAAACACAGTATGCTCCCAGCCGCAGGCCACTTGTCGTACTTCCCGTACATGCCCCGGCAGAGCCACGCGCCGCGGCAACGGCAGCACTCGTGTGGCGCCCTCTCCCTCCGCTTTGCCGCCCCCACCGGCGCTTCCAATCCCTGCTGCTGCTATTCCTGCTACTGCTGCCGCCGATTCATCTCCTCCTATCCTTCGTGCGGCAGGTGCTACAGCTCCTGCAGCGTTTGAGGCTACCTTGGTGGCAGCAGCAGCGGCGGCGCCGCCGCCACTACAGCCTCCCAGGTCGGCGGCCGCCGCCGCCGCGGCATCAGCCTGCTGCTGCTGCTGCTGCTGCGACGGGGCTCCGGACGGCTCTACGGCACCAGCCACATCATTACCCCA